CTCTGCATTATGATACTAAAGGTTCAGCACAGGCTACTAGTACTGAGAAAAACAGGAGGAATACAGAGCTAGGCTGACCCAGCTCTGAAAAAACCCAGAAAATGTGATTCTAGGAGATATGAGGATGCACATCCTGACTAGAACTGGTAAGTACTAGTGCAGATGAACTAAGCTCCACCTGATGGATTGGATAAAAGATTGAAGTATTGGAGAAAAACAAGAAGGTCAAACAGTCAGGGCAGAGGAAAGGAGCAAAGTAACCACAACATACTCATTCTGCAACTACTCCAGGCCTTCCTTTGCTGCTCTTGGTACAGTCTGTTCAAAGCAACCCAAGTACCCCCACATGGGACTGCATAATTTATCCTACTGTTAAGTCAATGTAAACTCATGATCACTTGATCCAAGGATATTTTGTACAATCTGCTTTTGCATAATTTCCTTGCTACTTAGTCATTTCAAGGCTAAAAAAGGCTTTCATTCTGCATTAAATGCCCTGTTAGGCCCCACATCTATCACTCACACAGTACCTTACACAGATATTCCCCACCCCCTCTGCCAATTTACTAATCTAGGGGCTAATCCATCTCTTATTTCTATATTGCCAAATTTTCCTTTGTTTTCAGTAGAAGTGAGATCAGTTCTTTAGGGTTTAACTCTGAAAATACTCCAGGATATATGATCTGCAGCAACAGAAGTAACATCACTAACATGTTAAGCTGTTCACACTCACACAACTGACCAATAAAAGCAACTTTCTATCCAAATCCTAGGCAGAACGTGACAGATATTTTTGCAGTAATTTACATATCCCCAAGAGAAGCAAACATTCCCTCTGAAAATAAATAGCCAAAACCTCAGTCTGTTTTGCTGGTATATAAGCCTGTCTTGCCTTTTATGCTTATGATTTTCTTTACGTGTCTACTCAACTAACACAGCAGATCCACAGATTTTGAACAGACATAGCATTATTTATTTTCTTCTTTAGCATATAAAAATGTGTAAGTGACTTGGACAAAAGCCAAAAACCTGCCAGGACTATTTTATACACATCAGTAGTGCTGCTGCATACATATTTTTCTCTCACACATAACTATGCCAGTTAGGAAAGCAGTAACAGAATAGCTTTAAAACAATGAGGGTACAAAAGAGGAACAAAACACCCCAAGACCTCCTTTGTGATTGCAGTATATATTCTGTCCTCCTCTTTTTTCCTTTTTTTTTTTTTTTTTTTTTTTTACTTATAATGAAAAGAGGAAAACATCATATAGTAACTAGAAGTTAAATGGTGCAGCAGTCATTTACAGACCTGTGCAAGGCAGCAACACAAAGGGGTTACTATCTCTAAACCTATTCATTCACTTCCTTCATTTTACCCCTCTCTTATGAATGAAGCATTAGCACTGTTAATTTCCAGCCAACACATCCATTTGTCAAGGCAGGCACGGCAGTTGCCACCAGGGTAAATGGAGGATATAGAATATCTAGTACACAGAAGCTGCAGAGCAGACACACTTTGTTTAGTTTTCTTGGACACTTGTAAGAGCAGGGTCAGGACTGAGCAAGCGCTTTCATGCTGAATTTTCTGTTCTTAGGCTTAGAGAACGTAATCACGTAGGGACTTCTGGCCCAGTTTTCCCCCACTTTTCACTTCAGCACTTACCCTGTAGCTATAGCATAGCTGCTATGCCTGGGCTGGCTGCAGAGCGACACCATTCACACCACACAGAGTTATCTATCTATTTGTAACAACAGGGAAAGATGACACAGGGTCAATGCAAAGAAGAATTAGGCTCTCCATGCATGATCTTATTTGAGAGAGACATATTTCTGGTAGTGAAATCCATTTCAGCTGTTGTTTCAATTACCATGGCATGAAAACATGCTTTTTGCATCTTGTGGAAATCCTTTAGCTGTTTTACATTCTTTCAAAGCAATCAAAAGGCAGCTTTACAGCTGTCATGTATGTAATGCTGAATGAGTTCACAATACTCAGAAGTCAAATTAAGGTGGGTGTATTCAAAAAAATACGATTTTGCCTAAAAATACAGTTTCTTTCCAATTTGGAAGCCCCAAGGATGTTTTATTCTGTTTGCAAATAGAGCACTCTTTATATCTTTGTTCACCCTGGCTATGAAGCCACCAGACAACCCTGATGCAGAATGACCACAGATAAAAAAGCAACTGTGAAGTACCATTAAGGTTTGCTACTATATGCCTGTTTTCAGAAAGCTTCAGTCCCACAAAGACAGCAACTACTTTGTGTAAGAACATAGACTAATTGAGGAAGATCTGTAAGAACAGTGTTAAAGGCAGCCCAGAAAGCTGCATCTCAAAACTGCTTGGCAGCCACTGGTAACTCAGTGTAATGTGAGTACTAACGACTTCTAGATAAAAGACTTTACTGGGTATCTCACTTGATTGTTATGTTTATTTAGATACTAATTTCACATACACTCTGAAGAAGATGGGAATTTTTATTCCACTGCAGCAGAGTCTAGCATCATTTTCCCCAGAGCTTCAACTTTTCATCTGTGATCTCGTTTATTAGAACTTAAATGAACTGCATAAAATACCCACATAATAATGCAGCAGATGCTCACACACATGCAGGATCAGTAACTTACAGGGCAAGAAAGCTGAGCTGAGCCTGTCCAGTCTCACCTACTTCGCATGACTGAACAGAACTAGTCCCAGTCACAGAGAAGAAAAGCTTCCACAAAAGCAAATGTGTCTGAAAAAATAATTATTATAGGTGAGTTATGACTTATAAACAAAGAGATCTCATATCAATCTTTTCCCTGTTTTGCTTCTCTTTGGAGCTAAAATATTATAAAATATTAATACTAAACTTTTTAATACTCAACATAAGTTAATTTTTTTAGATGTAAAATACTAAATTGTGTTATCCTACTTTGGAGTTCTCAAAATCTGTCTCTTAAAATGTGCAAATATTTTTCTATTTGTTATGACTAAGATATTATTTTCTGTTCAAGGTCTTCTTTTCAGAGGACAATGAGTTTCCCAAAATACAGAACTCATCAAGCAATAAAATTACTAAGATAATAATGCTGATAACTATTAGCATCTGGCTATATCCTGTCAGGACATTCAACAAACAGTGCTGACTTTTATGCTGTGACTGCTGAGATGTGATAGTGCTATGTTTTGATTTGCTGTTAAAAAACCAACTATCTACGTGCTTTCTGCAAGTTCAGATTTAGTATTCATTATGTACAGACTCCAAACATTTACTGTACATTCCCCTACTGCAGCAACAGAAATTGAGGTGTTACAGGATCTTTATTTATATATATTTCCTCTTACAGGTGGGGAAGGAGTGAGAGAAAAAAAGAGGAAGTTGCTTTGGTTTATACAAGATTTGATAAATACAGTCATATGTTGCCCTTTCCAGTGCAATACAATCATAGAATCTGAATTTCAAGTGCATCTCAATTATTTTCAGGCATAGATCCAAACCAGCAATAACTTGAGCACTGCAACTAATGAATTAAACATCGCATCTGCCCCTAAGCAACCAAAGTCTGTATGCAAAGCTGGTCAAACTATTTATACACCCCTGTCTTTAGAGAATATATATCCTTTATTAAAAAAGACAAATAAAAAAAGTTTCATACTTCAATTGCAAGCCCCATTCTGTAACCTGCATCTTGTCCAGGAAAAACACAAACTCCCACAGCATTCTTTCTGGTCATGAGTCTAACCCAGATTTTGCCATCATTATCTACAGCAAAACAGCCAATGCAGTCTATCAATTAAAAAACCACACTTACGCAATCTGCTCTAAGTGTCCCACACTGAGCTCCTCATATGATATCTTGCACATGGAAGCCGGTACCTGCCAGCAAAGCAGACTCAGCCTTTCCACTGCACGCAGGGCACTGTCCCGTACGAGCCGTGGGTGGCAGCACCGCCTGCGCATTCCAGCCGGGACACGCTTTGGGTCACAGGTTCGCAGGGAACAGGAACCATCCCCACGCACACAAGTGCCTAACAAGTGTCCCAGCTCCGACTGCCATCACGCACTAAAGCTGCATTCATTTCCTTCATCATCTGCCCCACGGCTTGTCCTTCAGTACAAAGCACGCGAACTGAAGATGTTAACAAAGATTGTACAAACACACGTTGTGAAATAAACAGGAACTTGCGCCGCATACACAGATGGAGAAACTGAAAACACTGATTGTATCAGGAAGCAGTTCAACGCCTTGATTCATGCAGCGTGCACAGTAACAGGTATCACTGCTATCGCAATTTCAGCAAAATGTCACTGTCTGAATCAGCAGGAGCACTTGCAGACTTTAGCCCACAAATCCAAACCACCCCAAGACTGTTCTGTGCAAAAATCATCAAAATTTACCTTATATCAGTTTCCTCTCCTAAATCAGACTTACTTTGCTATCTTTCAGAAACCTCGCTTGGTAATATTCCACTTTCAGAACCAAAACAAAACAAAGGCACGCAGGTCTCATGTGTCCTCCCCATTCTCAAGCTCCTGAATTTCTTGAGCGACACAAGCCCAGCCCCCCTTCCCAACCCCAGAGATACAGGCTGTCACATAACCCATCATCTCTATGTCTTTGCAAACCCTGAGCATATCTAAAGAGAAATAAAAATCCGCGTGCTACCCCTTACCAACACATTCCCTGTCACTCTGAATTAGCAACAGCAGGCTGATGCGAAAGTCACTAGATTTTAGTCTCGATTTTATCCATGTTAATTATTATTAAACCTTTAAGAGCTTTTTTCCAACATCTCTCCAGCATTCCCCTTCCAATATGTACATAAGTAGTTAATACACGGTACTTTACACAATCACTCAGCCCCGTTTTCTCGGCTGACCTATTCCAGCACATCTACTTCAATGACGAGAACTGGGGGAAAAAACCAAACAACTTCTTGCCATTCACCGCCGCCGGAAAACAGCCCCTCTGCTTGACACACCAGAGGAGCAGCACCGCGCACAGCCCGTGCCTGACCTCAGCCGCGCTTCCTCCTCCGCCGCCGGGAGCACCCACATCCCAGAGGCGCGGGTGTCGCGGTCACCCGGTCCCCCGCTGCCCCGCCGGCCGGACGCGGCCCGGGGCCGGGGCCCAGCCGCGGCACCAACTTTGCCCGCCGAGTCGTCTCTGACCCCGCGGCACCGGGGAAGCCCCAGCCCCGGCGCGGGCCCCAGCGGGGACCGAGGAGAGGCGGCGGCCGCGCCCCTCCGGCGCTCCCGGCTGGCCGAGCTGTGAGGGGGCCCGGGGCACCGGGGACCCCCAGCCCCGCCCCGCGCCCCCGCTGCGCCCACCTGCTCGGCGCCGCTGCCGACGGGGACCGGGCGGCTCCTCCCGGGCAGAGGGCGCCAGGTACGGCGGCCGCCCGTCTCCCCTGGCGGGGGCGGGGAAAGGAGGGCAGGGATCTTAGGATCCTGAGGGGGGAAAAGCCCGTCCCGGTCTTCATGAGGAAATAAAAATAAATGCATATTTTTAAAAGAAGTAATTTAACACACATGCACACACATACACAGCCCGCCCACCCGCGGGCCCCACTTTCCACCCTCAGCCCTGGAGCGCGGCGGCTTTGGTGCGAGGGTGAAGTCCGGCTGCAGCCCGGCGCACCCTCCCACATGCTGGTGCCTCGGCAGAGCCAAAGCTATTTTTGAAAGCCCACGTGGATGCCACAATGCTGCCCCATGGCACGGAAAAAAAGATGGCACTACCCCGTCCCAAACACATCCACCTGCCAAACCACTTCTTCCCTGCAGTGCCCTGAGGGCCTTGCCCTTGGAGCTGGATGGGCACCCTTGGCTTTTGTATCCCTGATTGCGCACTAGGAAAAAAAATAAATCTTGTTTTCTTCTGGATTTATTCCAAGGCTGCTTTAAGATGGGAATATTAAGGTCTTGCCCTAATGAGCCTTCCATGTTTCTGTCAGGGCAAGGGAGCTGCAGTGGAGCAGCCTCCCAGACAGCTGGAGGAATGGGGCACCCCGAGTTTGTCATGTGCAAGTGTCTCAAGAATGATGATGCTGGTGAATTAACTTAAAAATCATAATGTGGGCTCTGGTCTGCCCAGCAGCCTTTGGATGGTGTTTTCAGGTGGCTGAGAGGCAGGCTCATCTTCACTGGATTTCTCTGGAACACCTGTTTAGCTGTAGAAATGTAAAATTGTGTTTTTCATTGCCTTGCTTGCCTATAAAGCAGTTCAGACAAATCAGTGTCACTTGGACCTGAATGATGTCAGCCTGAGATTGGTGGAAGGTCAACAATGGGCTGTTGTGGTACTTCTGCTCATCAGGGCATGGGCATAAAAATCAATGCTCTAGATCTCCATGTCCTGTCTGTCCAGAGGTGTGACTTTGATTTATTGTTCTGAAAATATTCTCTTGATTGCTTGCCAGACTAAATAATTTTTAGTCCTAAGTATCTGCCTCAGTTGCTTCCACAGCAGTCAGGGAGCACTAAATCCACTTCTAGCTGGTCACTAGTTTGAACTTTAAAGCACAAAACAAAGCCAAGGGTCCTAGGTAGCACTCCAGAAAAATCAAAATATCAGCATTTAATATATATATATATCTATAAAAATACCACACTTGAAAACTGCTTTCATTATTCATGCAAATTAGTCTCAGCTGAGATTTGATTTTAGATTGCTAATGCTGAAATGAACTTTGTCCACCTTTTGGATTAGATAGAAAAAGAACTTCAGAGGATCAGGCTGCAAGAGCTGTAGGAAAAAAAAATCTGGTTTTGTCCTGTTTCTTTAATTTGATTTCTTTCACTTTTCAACAAGGTCCACATAATTTCTGCAGAATTTGTCCCTTGCAGCAGCAACCATTTCTACCCTGTGAGTCTAGACTGACCCAGTACAAAGGTTGCACACTGGTATGGTCTGAATCCATCAGCTTTTCCTGTGGTACACAGTTTGCCCACATTTAAAACACTGCAGGAGATACCATTACCTCTTGGCTAGGTACAGAAACTTATCATACATTATATTTCATTCAGAGAATCCTACTGGATTGCATGCCTAGGAGTTATGAAAGTCTCCTCTTTCTGTTTTGTCTTTGGGAGAGGTAGATGAAAAGGAAAAAGGAAAGAGGCACTCCCTTTCCATTGCTGAATTGGAAGGAAGGTACTGGAGCACTCGATGGCAGCGGAATAGGCCAAAGACTTCTGCACAAACTTCAAGGAGTTCTGTGAAGGCCAGTGCACTGAAACACTCATTTCTTCTAGTTGTCCACACGTAATCCACCTCCTCCTCCTCTCCTGCTTTTCTTCCTCCCAACTGTATCTGAGATCACAGAAAGGGTAATGTAGCAGGGACAAAACTTACCCTATATTATCATATAGGACGTGCTTTTCCTGAGTTTTATTCTCTTTCCTGGATTTTATTATCATTACCAATTTAAGATTATTTGAAGTGTTTTAAAATACTGAAAATTTGCCTCAAACATATTTGCAGCTAACATTGATATGCTTTACAATCCATAGCTATAAATGCAATTTTATTTTCCACACATTCTGCCTGCATAACTACTAAAAATTATGTTGTGTATCGTAATTATATTTTTACTCTTGACAAATACGTTTCAACACGAATCAAACAATACATCAATCTATTTAGAAAGGGAGAATCTCTGTGTGTGTCTTAGACTTGGGCTGCTGGCTCTCTGTAGTTCCTTGGTACCATTTCACAAGCAACTGTAAAGGTTATTTTGAGTTTTGTCACAGGCTGGGAACGTGTCTCTGAGGTTGATCTGGAGAAGATTTTCTGAGTGTCTGTGTTAAGCAACATAACGCCCCTGGCCTGTCATCTTTGTATTCAAGAAAAAACAGCTGGTACTTTTCTCCTACAGCTGCTACACCTGGTACTTTTCTCCTACATTTCTTTCCTTTGCTGTGTCCTGCAGCTGAACCCCAGCTGAAGGTCTTCAATCTTGTCAGACTTAATGAGAAATTTTGCACCCTTTCCATTTCTGGTCCTGGCCCTTCTGCTGAAAGCCAAATTCATTATGAGCCTATAGGTTCTAAAACATAGCAAAAGTGTAGTTTAACAAGAGCACAAATGAATGTGCTCTACGGGAGGAAGCAGAATCTCTGTCTTCTTTACAAAGAAGTCACGGCCATTAAAGATGGGAGAGTTGTGAATGGCCTGTGGTGAGCTGCTGCAGTATCTGATGGAGACTGAGAAAATTTCATTTTGATTCACCATGTTTTTACTACAAAAAAATATAAATTAGAACAAAACCACACATATAACTTCATAGGAGTTTCCTCTTGTTCATAACTTGTTCAATACTAGATGATGATCATTCTTAGCAAATATATCATTGATCATCTCTAAGTTAAAAGTACTTTCCTGCACTAAAAATGTGTTTATGACACTCTCTTCTTCAAGACTACTTAAAATGTCATACAAGAAAATGAAAAGTACCTGAAATAAATGAAACCAATGAAAAGGAGGTAGTGCGTCCCAAACAGAGAAAGAATCAGAACTATTTGGCATGGTTACTGATTTTGAGAACAACAATCTGTGAAGCTTTGCTGGCATGTGCCAACATAAATACTTGCCAAAGAAGTGCTTATACTTATCCTAAGTACTTACACTTCTTTTCCTCTCCAGACAATATAAGAAAAAGCTGAAAATCTTCTTACAGCATTTGTGCCTTGGTGTTTTGAATAAGAAGCACATGTAAAGCTTTCTGGTCACCACTGAACACAAACAAAACATACATAACTTTAACACACAAATAAAAAAAACAACTTTGATCAAGGCTAAATATGTCTCAAAAATGTAAATTCATTTGTATTTGTCTTTGTTTATGCATGCATTTGCAAAATATAACAAAAATACCCAGAGGTCAAGGCATTTTTGACTAATGTAAAAAATTTTTTTGCATTAAAAATGCATGAAACTTACAAGCTTAAGAGCAAAAACAAAAAGAAGCTTCTTCCTTTCAGGGTGCCATTTGATTACACTTCTTGATAGCTTTCAACATTTGAAAATTGTTACAATAATAGTCTCAGCCATTGTGTTTGATGACTTTGTTAGCTTTAGAGCTAACACAATTAACAGAGACATTCCTATGTATGAACAGAGATATTCCCATATTTTTGTCTCCAAATATTTACCTTTCCCTTATTATTGGCAAAAATAAAGTATTTTCTATAGAGAATTAATAATAGCTCAGAACTTTAATTTTGTCTAATACATTTCAGCAAGAAATTCCTAAAAGGGCATTATTTGCTTGTTACAGAACAATGGAGCCATGTTTACAAATGCAGTTTAGACAGCAATATTGAGGAAAGCTGTAGACAAATAATTAGTAGAGATGATTTCCCTAGAGAGGGGTATTAGTGTTTACTTTTTTTCTGTGTTTTTAATCCAAATCCTAAACCCTTACTCCTGATCTTGTTGAGCAAGCTGTTTGCTGAGTTCATTGGAAATGAAGTCTGAATACATTCAGGCTCCTAGTAAATAATTAGTGCCCAATGTCAATTCTTTCTCTAATTGCATTTCTTCCACTTATTTCTGTTTGTGCTGTGGGGTGTCTTAAAAAGTATCTCTTAGGAAAAAAACTTTGGATTTTCCTCGGTGCTTGGTTCTGCCATTCATTTTCTGCATGACCTCTGTGAAAGTACTTAATCACTTTTAATAGTGTGAGTGGAACAAGAATGCATTCATTAATATTTGTGAGGCTGCCAGATAGTATGCTGTTGCAAGCATTTACAGTACCTTAAAAAAAATTATAATTGCACTATCCAGCTGGTTAATGTTTATCCAGTTACTGAACAGCTAAACAAAAAGCAGAGAGGCAGACCTACAGTTTACTCTCATTGGTATTGAATTTGAAAAGAATTTTTCCATGTTAAAACTGTAGAATTAGGCAGTAGATGAAATACCATTAGCAGGCTTCTGTAGAGAATAATGAGCTGAAAGCATGCCCGGTGCTAGTCTGCAATTAGGGTGAAAAGTGAAATCGGGCAAGAATCAGAATACCATTTCAGGCTCTCACTTTTCAGAGCGTGCCCTTTTCATCCCCACCAGGGGGAGCCTAATTGAAGTCAAT